TTTTTTCACGTAAAGTAGCAGGAGGTCGCTACACATTTATTCCGTACTAGTCTACAACCGTAGGAATTTCTTTTCCGTTTCTCACGGACAAGCCTGGTCAGTAAAAACTCAAAAGTTTTTTCCTTTCACCACCGAGGAATCAAAGTCAATCTTTTTTCGCAAGACCTCCAGTCAAAATAAAATGACGCGTTTGATCGGCGTTCTTGCAGTCCCCAACTGCTGGGTGGCTTCCGCTTTCGTTTTGCTGACCTCGTTCTCTGCTTTGCTACAGCAGCAATGCGTGGTGGAAGTTTGGGCTCTACGTCCTTCGCGCAGCTCCAGGTCCCCTTCCATCTCTTCGCCTTCGCGCACCAGCTCCTCGTCCAGCTCTCCGTCCGGTCGTCGCGCCGCGCGGGTGCGTGGAGGACAACCGCTCTTACAACCCCCTGTTCTCGACCAGCAGGGACTACAGCAGGCGGCGGGAAGTAGTCCCGCGGCAGGACCTGAGGTTGATCTCGAGGCTGGGGGAGGTGCAGGTTCTACGCTCGGCAATCAGATTGCCCCTGCGGCTGCGTCCACCTCAGGAGGAGGCTGGAGGTGGAGCCGGGAATGCGCTAACCATGAGGAGCGACCACATCATGAAGGTGCAGATGTGGCAAGTCTGCTTGCTGGTGCTGGTCGTCCAGCGGCGCTGCTAGTTCCAGCCGCGGCGCAGGTTCAAGAGAATGAGAATGACGCAAGAGATCATGAAAGACGACGCGCTGAAGGAGACGGGGGACTACGTCGGGTGCGACAGGAGCGCCTCGACGCTATTGAGCGGGACTTACAGTGGCTCGGAGGCGAACAGCGAAAATATGAAAGATTGGCCCGAGGCGCCCGGAGGGTCCGCAACGTTGGTGTAGTTGCTGCAGGTGGCTTTGCAACGGCGGGCACGTTAATTGGTGGCACTGCTCGCGGTGCTGGCGCTGCCGTGTCGAGCGCGTGCACCGCGTACACGGCCTGTTTTGCCTATGTTGGGGAGCAGCACCAGCGCGTGGTGGAGGCCATCGCGCAAGGGCGGAGGGCCTTGATGGAAGAGAGAGATGACTTGC